AGAGGAGGAGGAGGAGGAGGAAGAGGAAGAAGAAGAAGAAGAAGAAGAAGAAGAAGAAAAAGAAGAAGAAGAAGAAGAACAAAAACAAGAACAAGAACAAGAACAAGAACAAGAACAAGAAGAAAGAGGAGGCGAGTTAGTGACAGAGCGAAAAGTAGAGAGCAGGGCAGATGGGTATTGGCGTGAGCGTTTAAGTGAATTTGTATGTTTATATGTGTTGTTTATGAGTGTGTGTGTGTGTGTGTGTGTGTGTGTGTGTGTGTGTGTGTGTGTGTGTCTTTAATACAAAGGAAAATAGAGAGAGCGCTCGCGAGACGGAGAAATAATAGCAGAGAAAGAGAGAGAGAGAGAGAAAGAGAGAGAGAGAGAGAGAGAGAGAGTGAGAGAGAGAGAATGAGAGAGAGAGAAAGAGAGAGATTGATTGGGTAGGATGGGGTGGTGAGGAAGGTTCAAACCGAAAAAGATTGTTTGTTTTTTTTAATTCCTAAGAAAACGAGCTTTCAAACAAAAACATTTTTTGCTTTCGGTGCGCTGGTTGTCAAAACAGATACGCTTATCTCGATTTTCGGCAGGAAAATAAATCAGAAAGTCAACAGAGGTCCGAAATGGAGAAAGTTGTCGACATGGAACTGACAAAAAGGTGTCCAGTTCAAGGATGGGGGACAAAGGCCCGTAACTGAGAGCAGGCGCACCGACAGTGAGCTATTAAATATTTATAAACAGGAAGTCGCTTGACTGAGTGAACGACCTTTTTCCCGACGCCGGAATCTTCGTGTTGTAGCATCTTTCCTTCAGAACATCTGAAAATGTCAGTCTTCATTTGTCAACATAATTCGACGTTACCAGACAAATAAACCTAATCAGCCTGTCGTTCATAGTAGCAGATTGACTTCATCAACAATTATCCCACAAATGAAGTTAGACTTTGGGTAATGTTGGTAGTTGCTTTTTTATGTCCTCCCTCAATTATGTAAATCTCAGAGATGGATGTCTATTTTCTACGCAAGCGCAGACAAATGAAATGTTTTCTTTGTCTCGTTCATTTCCTCTGTGCAGACGTCAGTTCAACGTAAATCAGAATGACGGCACAAAAATGTTTCCTTCATTCAGTTTACAAAGCGAATATTACAGAGGTGGACTGGTATGACTCAGATCTTTTTAAAAACATATATCTCATTACATCGGCTACAAAGGTGACATTATTACCTGTTATTGACTCGACTGTGTGCTTACTTTATCAAAAGGACCTCATAAGACAGATAGACAGAAACAACGGGGGGGGGGGGGGGGGGGGGAAATAAAGTAGACCTACAAGTAGAGCCCTTCAACTAACCGTAGGTCTTTCCCGTGCAGTATTAAAAATCCTTACGAATTAAACCTCGAGAACTAAATTGAGGTCAGGAGGTTTCCCGTTTTATTATTACTTTTACATCACACCAAGGTATAGAAGTTTGGCAGCTGATTGATTTTTTTTAACTCTACAAGAAAACACAGTAAAAACTAAGAACCTATCGAAGGAAAATAAACAAGCAGACTAACACAATCAACTAAAAATCCAAAATGGTAACTAAAACGCAGCCCCGGAAACAAGAATTTATAAACTTCTCATTTTTACGAAGGAAAGACACAATAAGAAAACAGCAACAAAACCGCCAGTTTCTATTTTTTCTGCAATAAATCTAAAAGCTTACATGAAGTAAGCAAGCCATTTCGTTTTTGTCGCCAATATTTTTCAAGACAAAAATATATTACATTTCTTACTGGTCTGCTTGTTTCTTGTGCCCCTTCTAACACAGCCAGGTCATCTAAAATCAAACTAGAGTTATGTCCAGTCTAACTCGCTGCGTTTTTCTCGATTATGCACAGGCGATTAATAGAACAAGCGTGTACACGCCACTCCAAGGTCGATTCAGCCGTATCTGAGCAGTGATCACAACGGCATGCGCGACTGGATCACGTCAGCTGCTCTGCCTTATGAAAGTAAAACCGAGTATTTGCAAATCTGGGAGAAACCAGCTTTGAATAAAAAAATATTTCATTAAATTCTAAGTGAAAATGTATAATCTAACTTTCTTACAATGCAGTGAAAAATCCGTGGCGCAACTTATTGTCAAATATTTCCTATACTATCGAATGTTAACTTCCCAGCTTTTGCACAATTACTTGTATCAATGTATCTTAATAGTTCATTATTTTAGTAAACATCTGTTAACTGCATTCTAGAAAATTCCTTCATAAAATTTAATACTAACAAACAATACAATCACAGTAGCTGTTTTCTCTACAGATTTTAAAAGGTGTATACCTGGGACAATATCGCCTTTAAAAGCAAGTCCATTAGTTGTTTTCTAATCACTCGCAACATAATGCTTATTGAGCGCATGATTTGAGAAACTTAAATGCGAAAAAAGTGTTCACTATAAAATTATTTTCGAAATACGAGTGTAACACAACAACATACCATTATTTAGCAGTGGCGTATATGCGTTTGCAAAATGTGTGTGAGAAGCGGGAAGTTCTGAGAACAATCACATTTTCCACGAGACTGATAAGTGTTTATTAAGTCATGAAAATAAGTTTTTCAATCTAGCCTCAATTGTTGTGGAAAAACATGATTGTACTAAGACACATTGATACAAACTACTGTGCAAAATGTGGGTGACACTGATTCTTCCGTTTAAGAAATTTTCAGGATAAGCTGCGCTATGAATTTTTGACCGCACTTCACCAGTCTGAAGCCAGTATCACTTATTTCTGTGATTATTCAAACATTACTGAGAGTAACAATTTAAGCTGTAGCTGCTGTATTTCCTGGCTTTTTTTTAGCACCGGTGTTTTAACGCTCCCGTGGACACAACGCAGATCTGTCAGGGCCGACCCGGGCTGAAAGGGGTACAATATTCCGGCAAGAAAGACTCGAAAAATACTCGATAAAGAATCAAGCTCAGGTCTTCTGTTTGCGACAGCAAAGCTTTCAACTCTTACACCATAGACTCTAGTTTCGAATTTTTGACAATACCTGGTTTTGTCAGATGTTAGGTATTTCACTTCAAATGGCAGAGCTACTGCAGTGGGCTTACAGATGTCCCGATCCCTTAGTTCCCCTAAGTAGTATTGATAAAGTGTCAGGAACAGATATCTGTATTTTGGCTGTGTCTATTTGCTGACGCTGGCGAGTAAAACCTTTACCTTTAAAATGAAAGTTCGCCAATACCAGAGGAATTATATCTCTAACAGCCACTCATATTAAGCACCAGATCTGCGACAGACATCGACGATTATGGTTCGCCATTCATTTCTTTGCTGGGATGCTCCAAAAATTATAATTATCCTTGGCTTTTC